ATCCTGACCCTAGCCTTGGTATCAATAGTAAAATGCATCATTACATATTTTCATTCAAGAATACATACCATAGTCCACCACGTGCCGATGCTCAACACGTGCATCCATCTGTAGAAGTGCACTGTACATAGCACGAGTAGAGTAGCTCCCCATATGGAGCAGACACACCCTGTAGAATGCAAGTAGATTCAGTTTTAATGGTAGAAGATCCTCTTTGCAGTCTCAAGGTAGGTTCAGAATTAAAAAGCCAACATACATAAATGCAGGCAAACTCGACCCCAAATGCGCAAGGTACAAAAGCAACACAATCCAGCATAATCACCCTGCGTTCTTCCTGATTACCTAGATACTGTGGATGGTTGAAAGTATTGAATGGGAACCCGTGCACCCATGGTATATTTTTCCCAAGCTTAGCCCCGTAGTAGACGCCATCTTGCTTCAATGTTTTATAAGTGGAGAAGTTGAGTACTTGTCCAAACAATATCAGTGAGAAAGCCAACGCAGTAACACCTCGAGGAAGATCCTGGAAACTCATTCTGTGATGTATCGAGCAAAAAAAAATATGCAGAAACATCAGCCTTAATATCGTCCAAAGACATTCCCAAAGTTTTTTAATTTGTAGCAAGAACAGAATTTCAGTGAGCGTATGTAACGGTGAACGAAGTCTCGCATATCGCCACTACTTATATCTTGTTTAAAACGAAATAAGAAGCGAGCCTAGCCAGCAAAGGGATGTAAACGTACATTTAAAAAGTGGTGAACTCAGGTAATAACAAGCTAGAAAGAGGTATTCAATGAACAGATATAAGAAACTAGCAATAACGTAAAGTTAGACATGACTCAGAAAGCACTCCGTTCAATTGACGTACGCGAAAAAAAAAACCCCCTATAGACGCCTACCACAACTAAATAATATAGACATACATGACTCGTAACGTTGTTGATATGCATATAAAAAGTAATGAAAGACATTAATAGGAGTCGAATCGTATCGACATACACGAAATTGCCGTTCTCATCACTCAGGGTCCGGTAGCTCCAAAGCAAACATGCGAGATACTGTGCGGTCTTTAAAGTGTAGCCGATAGTAGCCATAACCTTAACGGGCTCCTTTTTTATCTGTTAGTGGTCCAAAATTCTCGTATTGTCAGTATCAATCATCTCGTCACCGCTTTTAAATTACGTAAAATGTGCTTGAAACAATTCGTAAATCGAACTAGAAAAAGTAGACGAAGGTCCAATAGTGGCGCTCTGAATCGCAACCTTACACTACCTTCTCACATTTCTTGATGAAGGGCTGGGGGTTTTGCCATATATCTCGATACACTACATGAGGAAGAGATAAAACGGCACCCAATAAAACAGTATCGACTATCGTACTGTGACTTTCATACGCTGAGATAATGATGTCGGCCATGTTAGCCTATACTTCCGTGGGAACAGTCGAACACAGTAGAGTCTAGATTCTAGATTGCAGATCTCAAGGATGTGATGTGAAAAAATTACGGAGCCTATTTATAATAAATAGAAAGCTATTCTCACAGGAAAACGGGGCACTTTGTAGTACATAATAGAGTAGAATTTACATATATGATGCGGGATGTAAATTGAAACCCTTTTTCTTTGTCTTTTTTTAAAAACAAAACAAAACAAAATTATAAAACCCAATAAAAAAATCAAACAATAAACGTGACGAAACCTATGCAGTTTTATCTTTTTTGCAACCAAATTGATATTTATTTACGTTCACATATCACGATGTCATTTCCCCAATTCGAGACATATTGGAACTGGCTTTTTAGATGACCATATTATTATTATAAAATACACGTATTAATTATACTTATGTAGTCACAGTGTCACACTATTTTTTAGTATTTAGAAATATTTACAATGAATACATGACCAGCCTCTTGGAGGATGGAAAAATCTGCGATCCCTAAATATTCCGAATGATGATATTTCATTCTCTCTCTCTCGTCCCCAGAGACAGTGAACAGTGAAGAGGCTGATGAGCACTATCAAATATTTATTATTTGTTTCGTTTTTTTTACTACACAAAATCAAATAGCCTTCTAAAAATTGAACAAAACCGCCTCAAAGTCTTTTTCCGCTCGTTTTGCATGCGTGTTGTGTTCTTTTTCTTACTATTTTAGAAAAACATAATTTCGACCCGAAAAATAGACAACCCATACCAAAACAGAACACAAAACAACCAAAAATTGGGAACCTCCCTACTGGGCCCACCCTCACCCAAACCCCAAACTCCAAAGTCCAAAACAACTATGTATTTACATAAAATATTTTCATTAAATCAACCTTTTTTTTTAACAAAACAAGATTTTTTTTTGACTTTGTGTATTTATGTATTTATTTTTTAAAAATTGTTGTTTTTTTATGTTTGTTCGATAGAATCAAAACAATTTTAAAAAACCCCACATATGTTGTATATTTTGTTTTTGTTTTATTATTATTAATAAATGCAAAACAAGTACACCTGTAAAAATGAACAGTCAAACCTCTTTTTTTGTCCAGGGTCCGTTTCAGACCTTAATTTGGACAAAAAAAGAGTTAGACAAATTTTAGGGAAGTAGAGTTGGGGCTTTGGACCCAATAGCTCTCGCTAGAGAGATACATACACTCGTAGTGAGGTACAACAGTAGTAGTAGTACAGTATCGTACATGCACGCATATCAAATGCTTTTTTAAAGGTGTTCAAGCATCGAATTTGATCTAATTCGTGGTGCAATTGGTGACGTATTCTTGTGCTCAGTTGTAGGCAGTAAGCATTTAAAAATAACTTGGTAGGCAAAATATCTGACTGCTATATCCCGCACCCAGAACAACATCACAGAATACATGCATTGGACGCTCGCACCCAACAGGCAAGTATTGCCGCTATTCTTATATACATTATATTGTATTTAAGTTATAGGTTATCATAAAAACACATGCACCACTTCTCTTTTGAAGTATAGCAAGCTACACGTAAATTCACACAGCAGTATTCTGGTACTTACTGCAAATAAGTTCATACTGCAAATAAGTTTCAGAGTCCTAGTACAAAAAAAGGTGGACAAAAAAAGAAGTATACAATAAAAGAGGTAGACTAAAATGGAGATTCAACTGTACGTAGTATGTATATTTTTACATAAAACAAATTAGTTTTGCTTTTAATGGTTATTATATATTAAAAAACAAAACACCAAAGAAACAAAACAATCAGATCCCATGATGCATGTGTTGTGCGCATGGCCCTGCTATTTTTTTTTAAATCTAAATATTTTTAAAAAATAGTCTTGACTGCTTCGCTCTCTCTATTTAAGTGACCTTGAAGATTGAAGTATCATAAATATGTTAAATATGAACTTCTGTGAAGCGTGTGGCTGACGGCTGTGTGAAGCGTGTGAGTGTAAGAGCATGTGGTAGGGCTCATTCACTTCTTCATTGTGGACATACATCTATTTTTTTTCCAAACATATACGTATTTAAAACATATCTATGTACATTATATATTTACTATTGTAAGACAACGTTGGCAAAAGCTTGGCAGTGTGGTCCAGCCATAATTTGAAGTCTCTGAAGGTGAAGTGGTGATAGCCTTACAATCGTACAGACGTCTATTTTTTTTAAAGTTAGTTTACGTAAAACGTTTGTACGTTTTCATCATACATAGCATATATACGTCACCCACAGGCCACACCACCACAGTCCCACCCATGGTCACGAGTCTTTCACGACCCACAGCCTCACAAGTCACAGGCCACAGGGTCCACAGAGTCACAGACTACTAAATACTGTACTATTTACATTTTTACATTGTAAAATCAGACGTACATAATAGTACAATACGTCTTTATGTATTTATAATTCTAAATTTTTGAAGGCTATGGTCTTTTATAGTAAATAAAAGTTAGTCTTCACCCACGGGGGTCGGGGGGAAGGATAGAGTCTTAGAGAATCAACCAATATATTGTGAGTAGTTTTATTGGCAATCTATACTAAAATATACGTTATTTTTTAATTCGGGGATCTGAATGCGATATTATAAAATATATACGCGTGTTGTATTTTGTACATTTGATGTGTTGCTCTTTTTTAATAAATGAAAACGTTTTGAAGGCAAATAACAATACGCCTGCCGGCTGCCATCAATCCATATTATGGCTGCATAAGTGCGTGCCCGAGCCCCATCAGGGCATGCATTTCCTCGAATATCTGAACATAGCCTCTCTCTGTATTTATTTTCTGTTCTTGCCTATCAAAAAGGCTATGTCTTTTTTGTATTGTATTTATTTATTTATTTGTTTTTTAAAAAAACGTGAAACATGACCCGCCCCCCCGCTTGGCGGAGTGAGCAAAGCTCGGTACGAAGTTGGTATTCACAAGTCCTCTTTATATGTCCAGTTCCCGGGTCTATTGGCAAATATTTGGACATATATAGAGGTAAGACAAGTCTAGGTCAGTTTCTCGGGGTCCAACCTATGGCCCATGGGTCACACCAGAAGCTATCCTACTACTAGGCGCTCTCATTACTGGCACTCACCTTTGATGATACAGTAAAAATTACGTTTTAACGATCTGATTCTAGTAAATAAGAAGATAAAGATCACAGATTGGGCAAAATTCCGTTTTAACGACGGATTATGTCAGCCTTGACTTAACCAAGGTGGACTTTACACAGTTAAAGTGTCCCTAAAGGAACTGTGTATCCTGGAGACACGAGGCTGTGGGAAAAGAACAAGTTGAGAAATGGCTA